CCCCGAAGTCCTTGGGAAGGAGTTGGGATTTTATTCTATGCCACTGGAAGATGTAAGCAAGGGAGGGAGGTGACCCTGACATGTCAGCAGATCCCCTGGTTGCTGAGTGCAGAATGAAGGAATGACAGGGCATACGAGGAGAAACAGCAGGGCGTTTAGCCAGCAGGCTGTGACTGTGGTCAGGGTGAGTGAGGATGGTGTTGTGGACGAGGCTGGTGGAAAGAGACGAACCCAAAGTAGTTTTTGTTCTTGAGGCCAAGGAGGGGGAAGAAGCATTCTTTAACAGTTGTGATATTTGTCATCCACAAATACGCATTTTAAAATACGACCTGTGAAACAGTTCTCAAAGACCATTAACCAGTTTGACTTCGACAATCCTATCCTGTGTTGCCAGCATCAACTAAACCTCCTTTCATTCTGTTAAATATTTACAAACTTTTTCAACAGCTTGACTTTTTACATTAAGTACTGAAGAGTCTCTTTTTAGATACAATCTGTTTTTATGATAAATTTACCTAATTATTGAAGTAAAGACCAATCCAAAAGGTATATCTCATTTAAGGACCTTTAATATAATGATATTAGGAGTTATCTCTGGTGTATTTTTGTAAGTACATGCTGATTCAATGGTAAAATAAAATGGGAAGGCAAGAAGGGCAAGGAGTTGAAGAGGACCTTGTATCAGAGATTAAACTGTGGAGCAGACTGTTGTATGAGAGTCTTCTGCCAATTCTCTCCCAAAGGAAAAGCTATCTCAGCTGAGCAGCAGGTGGTGGGGAACTGAGGAGACCAAGGAGGAAGGCCTCAAAGAAAACTAGAAAAGAGGTGGCACCAAAGGGTCCTTACTTTTTCTGACTTATTTTTTAATTGAGGAAATTGAGATTATATTTCAAACTCACAGCTATTTTCCTATAGACTAGTTGATAATTCACTTTGACAGTAGACAATGTTCTTTATACCAGAGGAGGAAAAACTGAATTATTGATGATATTATAGAGTAATATTTAATGACATGGAAAGATGTTCATGATTAGTAATATGTGATAAACAAAAAGCAGGTTATAAACAGTATATGCAGAATGACTGCATTTTTGTTTTTAAATTTTTATCTGAAGAAACAAGTGAAATCATCTACTCCAAAATGTTAACAGAGCTTATCTCAGTAGTGGAATTTTGACTGATATATGTATATATTTTAATATATATTTAATATATTTTAACACATTCCTATGTTTCTTGGCATTTCTTGTAAAAAGTTTTCTTTTTAAATAGGAATAAAAAGCAGGGTTTTTAAAAATGAAAAAAAGGTTACCATATCTTTAAGAAAAATAATTTTATGTTTTAAAGTTCTATTCCATTGGAAAAACTAAGGTACCTATTTTATAATTAAATCTTACGTTTTATTCCTTAATTTCAGTCAGCATTTCATTCAAAAATGAACATTTTCCCTTCGGTAAAACCAACATACACCTATCGTGACCGCAGCTGTCCAACTCTGTCCCATCACCCTGCTTGGGCAGGAGCTCGGGACAAACATGGGAACTCCATACCACGATGGGAGAGAGGACTGTCCTGCATTTCCAGGCTGGCATGCTAGCAGACTACTTTTTGGACTGTTTAAGAACTGCCATAAAATGAATTTATTTCCTTTTCATAAAGTTCATCAAAGCACCAGGGGTAGGAAGTCTTCTACAGAAATGCAAAATCCAGAGCTAACCACCAACCGTGACGCAGAAGGTCAGTCATGTGTTCTGGCTGTAAGTCTCCACAGAGAGAGACATGCTTCTGCCTCCATCATTATTTATCATCTGGGTCTCTAGTTACTTTATTACCACAAGAGAGAAAAAAGAGCCATGCGACTCAACTTGTACTGGCTTCAGAGACTACCACATATACTTTAACATACTTCTTGGCTCACATTGCGAGCAGTGGTATCCACTGCTACCGCAAAGAGAGAGTAGGAAATCTGAGAAAAGAACGAGACTCACAGCCATTAGGACTGCCGGACCTCACCCTTTAATGCCCCTTCCGACCCTCCAGGGACAACTTCCCACACCCAATATGAGATGATGCCACGTTTCTCAGAAGATTAATTTTTAACTAGGAAGGACATCCATCCATTTTTTTTCTACAGTGTGTACAATGTCACATTTTAAATGTTAAACATTGTCTTACTAATAGGAAAAATAAATACATTATGGTTGAACTTGAGACCCAGCAGCAATTCAGTTGTACAACTTATTAAAAAATAGCAGGAAAATAGCTTCAGTGTATCTATTCTGATGATAGGAGAACTGGGCTGGGCTTGATAAAATAAAAAACAATCCCTTTAGACCACAACCAACCTTACAGATTCTTTTTACATCTAGCTAATGGCCCACATTTCATGAAGGGTGATGACAGTGGTGTCAGTGAAGAGACTGCTCCTCATGAAACTATACTGTCAAGCACTGATGCTCTTCTTCTTATTTTTCTCTCCAAATGTACTTTATTTTTATGGAGCACATTTTAATAGTTATAATAGTATGGTTACTGACAGAAGATTCAGGATAAAGGATTTAAAAAAGAACAAAGAAAATCTATTCCTAAGGACTTTCATACACATTATCTCCACAACTGTCACAAATATCTGAGCATAGCATTGTTATTCCTACTTTGTAGAGATAGATTTAGGGTCTTGCTTAGGATCATATAACTAGTGTGTCACAGGGCTTAGATCCGTGCTCCTAGCCTCTTAGCTAGGTCATATAATTTGACAGCAACTCTAAAGTAGAATAGGCAAGTAGCTCTTTCTTTTCATCAAAATGTTAGAGCTTGGTAAAGAGATGGTATGAAAACAGGCTGCTTGCTCGATGTACTTTGTACCAACTTTATTTGTGCTATTTTATAATCTGGACAAAATTAGGAATGGGAAGCAGCCTTAGGGCATAATGAAGAGAGGAAGAAAGGACAATGCCTGTTGCCCAACTGTGTGTATGCAACAGTAATGAAGAACATCACCATTTATAGTGAGCCAGCACATGAGCTTCCTGGAGCTTCCAGGGGGAAGTAGAAATGCAAACCCAGTCTGACCCCAAGATTCTTCAGGAGCCCTTTGGTGTTACTTCTTATTCAACCAAACCTAATAGACCACCCTTTCTTATCCCTTTACAGATGAGAAAACTGAGGACCACAGATCAAGTGATCTTCAAGGTCCCAGAGTTAGCTGGTGGCAGAGGTAGGACTAGAACCCAGTCTTACAACTCTCAACCCTGTGCTCTTTCCAATATGCCCCCAGCTGATATGTACTGTAGATGATGGTGCCAGAAATCACAATGGCAGCCACCACTGACTGGATGCTTGCTCACAGCCAGAGACAGTGGTAAGTGTTTCACATGAATGATTTCAGTTAATCCTCAGAATTGTCAATCTACAAGGCAGCTGAGGAAACAGAGCTCAGAAAGATCAAGCAACCTCACTAAGACCCTGCTGCAGGTAAGCGAGCTGGCATTAAGCCTGGTCTCTTTGAAGCCAAAGCTTCAGGTCTACACCAAATTACCTCTCTCTGCCCTCCAGGTCTGGAAAAAATTACAGTGATTAAATATGAACAGCTGATATATCTGCTTATTGTTACAGTTTATTCCATATACTTTAGTGGCTTTACAGAAAGAGATTTCAACAATAAGGTGACACAGTTAATCTGCCCTTTCCTGCTTCTTTAACGCTAATTCTTAAGAGTTTCTCAGAAGACTGAAGTCTTAGTCTAAATCTGCTTTTGAGACACAAATTATGTGTTGAAGAGAAGAAAATACCATTATCCAAGCATACATAAAATAAACTAGCTTTTAAATAGTGACATTTGGAACACGAAGTATGCTGGGTGACATTAGGTGTTCGGACGCGGCACCTCTGTTCATGGCTTATGACGCCTGTGAGGTAGCTGGAGAGGCCCAGGCAAGCCCCTGAGCTCGCTCTATTCACTGCTCTCTGGATTTATATTTTCAGCACCCCTTTTCGTAAGCTGTTGATGCTAAGAATACAGTTCTTAAGAACTTGCAACTGCTAAGAAGAAAGCCTTGAAACCAGATTTTTCATAGTTGCTTATACTGAAAGGACCAGGAGTACCCAGCATCACCTGGGTATCTTATATCACTTTACATCCTTAATATATACATCACTAATGTAACAGGTTTCTCAAAGTCATCTGTACTTCAAGAAACTGAGGCTGGTATCCTGGGATATCTAATATCAATTAACCTCTCTAGATTACAGTTTTATTATTAGTAAAGTTAGAGGCAATCTGAGGTCCCTTTTACCTCAAAAATTTTATAGTATCACAGCTGACTGGATAAAGGAATTCTAAGATGAATTTTTCTCCATTCCTCTTTTGTTCCTCTGCTCCCTTCTTTTCTTTTGCTCCAGCTCCAGGTATCTCCACTCAACCTCAAATACTTTTTTCTTCACAAATACTACCTTACTGGTCTCAGGCTTTTATTAGTAGCACAGTAAAGCAATTTGTTTCCACTTCAAGGAAATGTATGATCTAATTATGAACGAGAATACAGTGCAGAAAGAATTAATGTGGAATTAAGACATGTATGATACAGGCTAAAGAGGTATAGAGCACATTCACATGATTTAATATTCTTTAGAAATCACAATGGTGATTTTTAGTGAAGGAATTCTCAATAGTTATTAATATAAACTTACAACTAGAGTTTCTGGGAACATCTAGATTATACCATAGTCATAAAAAGCCACAAGCATATCATGACTAACAAACGCTTTGCTTTTGCAGTGTTTTCTATTTTAAGATATAGATATATGTATTTTAAGTGTGACCAAAGAGATCTTTCTTTCTCTTTCATTTAGAAAGACAATCAGAGAGAAATTCATTCTAGAAGTTTTTTCCACTTTCCCAAATTTATAACATAAAAACAGTAATTAATCAATATATACATAAGGTAAGGTCTCCCCCGAACACCACAGTGACAGTAAAGAAATGTTATTTTCTATTTTACCTGGGAAGAGCAGTGATTTTCCCCCATTTCTCCACACAGAATCTTCTTGGGCCATTACTCCCTCGGAGAGAAGCAAATCCTTCGTAGGGAATGCTGGACGTGCCTGTAACAAACTGGCAACCCAAAAACAGAAGACAAGGTGAAGCCAGAGACCAGCAGCTGGGAAATGCATCAATATCAGAGCCCCTGAGGAAGAGCTGGTGGGAAAGTTTGGAAGACAAAACTTTATAGGGATGTAGTAACCATAACACAAGAGTTCTGACAAACAGCCAGAGAAGAATACTAAGAAGGGGCAGTGCATTACACAGGGAAAGGTGATGTGCAGGGTTTATAGCGGACTAGCTCAGAAACTGCACCCAGGCATACTTCTCATTATAGATGAACAAAGTGGGTGTGTATCAATTAACCTGAGTCTACTTAGCATATTTCCTCATCAACTCAAGGTGAATTAAAAAAATAGAATTTCTGGGCTTACAAATATGAAGTCCAGACCCTTAATCCAAAGGAGCTAAGACCCAGTCTCCTTTAAGGCTCTGCCTGAGTGTCTAAGAGACTTCTTCATGCCTGATATTTCTTTAGCTGCAACCAATCAGCAATTGCCCTGGATGACTATAAACACCACAGAAAAATAACACGTTAGTTTTCCCAGTGTTCTTGAATGTCACTGTTTTCTCAAGTTTGTGGAAAGTTATATGAAGGAAAAGAAAAGGTTCTTTAACAAGGCACTGGGGCCTTTCTTAATGGATTGAAGATCATCTCTTTCTGCTAGAAATGCTGGCCTACACAGTGGGTACCCTGCGTGTCTCTTGCTAAAGGGACCAAACTGTCCTGAAGGCAGGTGTTGTTACTGGGATTCTTGAACTGGACTTGGCACCTCCTCACAACTCTCATGACTTGGCTGGTCACGTTCTGCATAGTGATGGAGTCACATAACCGTGCAATCAGAAGAGTCTAGAAATGGTGTATCCCATATTTCCAGATAAACATGGCATGTATTTATGGAGAATACTTAGCAATTATTAAAAATATACACTTCCAACAATAATTATATTAACACATTAAAAAGATAATTAATGGTATCTTACTTACCTGTAACAACCTTAGTCGTTGTTCATTGTTGAATCTTTCCACTGCAGCCCAGAACCACCGAATTACAATATGATTGTCATGGTATCCTATCAAACCAATCAAGAAGGCCCATATTACTTTGACTCTTCTATCTTAAGCCACTAAGATACATGTCAAAAGACCTCTCAGACATAAATCATCATATTGGATTCTTTAAAGGTTGTCTATAATTAAGACTAGGGAATAACATAGTAAATACGATCATGAGTGTCGAAAGTTAAACAAAAATAAAACTAAATGAAACCAAGATGTGTCTGTTTTCATTTAGACGTCACTGAATGAAACTAGAAGAGAAGAATAACAAATGAGTTATTTTAACCATATCATTTCTGTAAAATATAATTGCTGTTACTGGAAATGCTTAGCTTTTTTTGGTAATTTACATAAGAAACAATTTTCGAGTACCACTATGCCAAACACGGTACTAAGCTTTGGGGTACAACAGCAAAGAAAACAGACTCTCCCAGGGCTTTGGTAGAGGAGAGATACATTAATCAAATAATTTATATAAATACATATAAAATTGTAAGTGCCTTTAAAAGCTGCATATAATATTCATATTTTAAAATAGAATTATTCAATACTTTCACATTGATTAATAAAAAGGAAAAGTGACCTTTAATTCCTCCAACCAAGAAATTCTAAATAATCATCAATTAAATTTTACTTTTGTTCCATACTTTAGTGGAATTTAATACAATGTCAAAAATTTCATCTCACACTGGCTTAAGGCAGTGGTTGTAGATTCCAAAACCTTTATTAAGTTCAGAGAGAAGGCTGGCAAGGATTAAGATTATAATTAGTGATTCAGACCAGTTAATAGACATATTTAACGTACATAAAAGCTACTCTCTTGGTCATCAGTTCAAAACAGAAGATGTGTACAAAATATTTTAATCTGAATTTTCCCTCATGTTTCAGTATTGTAGAATTTGGAGGGAATCTCACCTTATTGTTTACCATTCCATCAGGGATAAATAGTCCCCTTTGGAGAGGAAAAAGATCCAAGTAAAGAGTAAACAAAGCTGGATTGGACATGGAGACACATAGGGTCCCTGTCCAGCCATTGGTAAAGACCAGCTATTCATTACTCGCCAATAGTTTTCTTAACTATAAAACGAGTGCATTGGTTCTTTGTAGCTTTAAAGTTTTCTGACCTTATGAATCAGCCCCTTTTTTCTTCTTTTCTACTGTTTGTGCCAACCTTTTAGAGGAGGAAGAGTGAATGTGTCTCATCATATTCTTACCGGCAGCTGTTGTATGAACATACGGCAAGTGGCAACACAGCACTTCTTCATTCAGTGCCAACTAGTTGGGTTAGCACACATGGCAGCTGAAGATCTCACCCTTTTTCTGCCCCCCTCAAGAATTTCATTTGATAAGATTTACAAGAACCATATAAATAGGTCCTTGATTAGTCAGATCTAGCTAATAAAAGTTTCTACTGTGTAAATACAAAAATGGCTGACTCCACTAACTGCACTGCTCTTAGAATCTCCCAGAGGGAAGATATGAGCTAATAGTATTTATGGTAAAATGTAAGTTCTGTAGCATGTCAGAGAAATTGTGTTTTATTCAGTAAAAACAGTTTGGTTAGCAAAGTTATAATAACCATAGCCATATATGGATTATACATGGGGCTGACTAGAAAAGAGTTATTTCAGCAATTGGACTTTAGAAGTAGCAGCAATGAAAACTTGCAATTATATACAGTCTTTCAGAGAAAATGGGCTGGCAAGGCCAGCCCAGGAAAGGAGGGATGAGCTGGAAGAGCTGAGAATAGGGAGAACCAACAGCAGTTTAGCAAATGTTAAGGCATTTTCTACTCCAAACTTTTAAAACTGTCTTTTTTTGAAAAAATAAATCTGTTTCCACTTACAGATAACTGAAGAACTGTTTCAGTTCTCAATTTATTCTGCTAAGTGATTAATTCGGTGATGTTAAGTTTGTATTTTTTATTATCCAATTTCAGAACTACTGATACCTCTTACATTTTGAATTAAAAAATAAGACCCAAACCAGAATATAATTAGTATTTGTCATGAATTTCTGAAGTCTTTCTATCACTGCAATAAATTCCAGAAAATGTATTCCTTCTTTGCTTAAAATTATTGAATAAAACTTTAACTCTGGATTAACTATCAGGTCCAATGCAAAGTGCATTGATTTAACAGTCAAATTTCAATGGCTTTCGCATCCCAGTTACTAATTGATAATTTGTACTGATCTACAGAAATGGCACTTCTAAAGCTTCCCATTTGGTGGAGTGTCAGACAGTACAGTTTTCAACTTGTAACAGTTTTCTTTTCAGTTGAACTTAATGCTTGAATTTAGAAGGGCTTTTCCAATAAATTTGTTGAATTTTGGGAACTGGGTCTTATTCCATTCAGGTGTTTCAAGGGTGAATTACAGCTGGTAAGTAGTTCAATGAACTGCAGAAAACCTGTGCTGATTAGGAAGCTCAAAGGGTGTGCCTCTTTAAGTTTTAGAATGAAAATAGAACAGGTGGAGTCTGACCAGCTGGATGCTAGCTCCAAGATGCTTCATTGACAACACCATAAAGTAATTAATTAGTGTTCTTATGGTCACATTTCCTCACCAACCATTGTGACATCCTTTGATTGTGTGTAAACAGTTCTTCCCCCATCTGACAGATGAGGTAAGTAGGAAAAGAAGGGAATGTACCTTGCCCAAGGTCTCTAGGGAGACTGCGTTAGACCTATTATTAGAGTGCAAGTCTTTTGTCTGTCTTGTATTCAGACAGCTGAACCAGGTCCTCCTTTAATTGGAAACTTAAAATCTAGCCATCTCTAAATCAAATTTTACCTCCTCTATATTCTGTGTTGTTTCTCCAATCACTTAGGTCTATTTCAGCTGTGCCTGCAATGACCAGTTCTAGTTCTCTTGCATCAAAAACAGATACCAGCCTGGCATCCACCACCTGTGGAATAAAAAGAGTACAAAGCATGGCTTAAGAACTTAGATAAATATCATCTATAATTAAGTCTCATCAGTAGAGGTGGGTATAGAGTTTTGGGAATAATATGGGTGTACCTTGTGTAGGCACTTGAAAAACTGTTAACACTCTCTACAAATGTTAAGGTTGGTTTTTTATTGTTGTAGTTGTTAGTATAAGGTTGATGAGATTTGCCTCAACAGAATTTTTGTTTTAGAAAACAAACTGATTAATCTAGTTGTTTTTTTTTCCTTTTTTGAAAAAGACCCAGTGTTCCTACTGAAAAAGTCACATGTAACACATATTACGACTCATCTGGCCCTCAGGTGTAATCATTTCACACATCAAGCATGAGGTTTGATTACCCGTATCTAAGCATGAGTAAGACGCATGCCTTGAATGTTATTAGTGGTCATTAAATCATCAAATGCCACTTGGATTCAGGTCACGATATTTATTACTATTTCAGTGATCTCTTGTAACAAGTACATTAAGCTTTTTTTGATGCTCTTGAAACATACAGGAAAAAATATTGGACTTTTTACATTGAAAGAGCAACAGTAAATACAGCAGAAGAGAAAATGGAAACAATCTACATGTGTCAAGTACAGGAAGACGGACTGGATTGTGGCATCATTGCTCTCAGGCTGAGAAACCCCACTACTGCTGATTGCCTTTACCTCATAGAAGCCGCGCACTAAGCTCTCTGTTTGTTGTACGACGCCCCTCTCAATCCTCCACTTCACCATCCTCTCAATGTACTCCTTCTTGTTCTTCTCTGTGACTGGGATATTGGCACCCCCTGGCTTTAATTCTCGTTCGGTAATCTGAGATATAAAAACACAAGGAACGACCATAAGGCAATACTCCTGATGTTATAAGAACACTGCTACCAATGAGCTGCAATCAGCCAGCTACCTGTCCCAGCCCTGCCCTAGGTGCATCCCACAAGCAGGTGGCGAGACCCCCCTACACGTGAAGCACTGCAAACGTGGATGTTCAGCAAATACCAGGCATTAAGCTGATGTTTGAAAGCTGTAGTGTTAAAAAAAAATGTCGGTGCTAATGTTAAGTTTTAAATCCTGCCTAACAAAATATGCCTTTTAAAACGCAGATGAATTGGCTACAGATACTAGCCTGCTGCTCTTTGAATATTTCAAAAATTCCTCTAAGGTTCAGAATCAACTACATCTAGACAGCCAATGTTCAAGGAAAGATTTGCTTTAAGGAAAGAGAATTATACTCAAAGTGAATGTTAAATTGAGAACTTCTTTTTTAAAACATATGAAATTCGGAAAACCAGCCAAATATTAATGCCTAAAGAAGAATATTACTTATAAACTAGCATATAATTTCTGAAATCTTTTTACCTACCCTTCTACCAACATTGAAAAAAAAACCCCAACATGTTGTCTGTTTTCAAGCCTTCCCTAAAATATTATATATGCTCCCTCGGCAGCAAAACACTCAATTTCAGTTCTTAAATCTGAATGAGTTAAATATAAATGCCAATTAAATAATTTAATAGCATAGATTTTTAAAAACTGCTATTCTATACAAGGCATATTCTCCTATCTTTTGTGGATATTTTAGTTGGAAATAAGAAGACTGCTTACAACACAAAGGGTTACATTAGAGCATCTTAATCTGCAGTTGGCATTAGAATAATCTTTGTGAGATTACAGTAACTGTGTGTGATCCTGGTTTTAAATCACCCAACAAGCCATGAATAAATAAGCATCTGATCTTAGCCATGGAATTAATTCTTCACCAACCAAATAGCCTTCAATTACCACACTCAGGCACCAGGTGTGCACATTCACAGACCTGCCCAAAAACTTCTTCGTTCACAGTGAACGTGAGGTCTAGGATGTCATGGATATCATTGTCTTTCATCCACTGCAGGCTCTGGTGGAATTCTTCATCAAGGTATTCTAGATCACTCAGGTCACACAGACTAAGATGACAAACAAATGGAAACAAATATGTAGGCATGGCTATTAGCAAAACCCCACAGTCATGAGGAAAGGAACTTAACAATTAAAGATAAGAACTAGATCAACTAAATGGGCAGTGATTTCTTGAATGTTCTTCATTAAGTTTAGTAACTAAACTGAATAATTCAGAAATCTGGTATCAAATTAGAGAACTGTGGATATATAAAATGCCTTAGGGGTCACTCAGCCTGGTCCTTCCTTTACAGACACAGACCTGAAGGTGCAAAGAGTGGCAGCTCTCTGCACTGTCATCCACAGTTAATGCCAGATCAGGAACTGGCAGTCAGGCTGACAACTTGGATCCAGTATTCTTTTTGGCTATATGATACTACCTTAAAATACTGCTCTCCTGATTTGAAATTCTTTACATATTTCTATACTACACTTTCACTTTTAACCTTTTTTGTTTAAAGACTAGATTCTTAAAAAAAAAAAAATGGCAGATTCTATGTCATGTTCACATATATCCCCTTTTTCTTCATGGTTGTTTTTTTTCCCTGTGATTCTGAAAACAGTAAGCCACAGAATCTCTCTTTATTGCAGAGAGAGGATCCACATGAGGTGGAGTTACTATTGTAAGTAACTCGCCCTGTTGTAAGGTGATAGCAATTGATTTGCTATGGTTGTTTTGAAATTCCACCCCCACCCAATTTCAAGGGTCATTTTGTTTGGTTCAGTCTAAACGTTTATCAGGCACCAAGTATGTACTAAACATCTTAATAGCTACTTGATGAACAGTAGCTGCTCTCAGGAACTAATGGGCTAGTTGCAGAGACAAGCACACAAATAGATAAGTTAATAGGAGTTGATAAGTGATAACATAGGTAGGTAATGCTTAATATTTGTGTACTTTTTAAAATTAATACTATACTTCAATTAAAAAAAGATAAGCTAGATACAGGGAGTTGTGGGAGCAAACATGAGGGACATTTGCTTTGACTTAGAGATTCAGGAAAAGCGTTTTAGAGCAGATGATGCTTATGTTAAATCTTGCAGGAACTTTCTAGGGAAAAAAACTTGCAAGATGTTTAACAGCTAGAGAGGTAAAAAGGAATAAATGAAGGAGGAGGAGACAAAAAGAGAAAAAGGAGAAGGAGAGAATAACAAGAACAAAATAAAAGGCATAGAGTATAGAATATTCCAAGCATATCAGCTACTACAGAGTTTACCACAAGACAAATTCTAGAGAATGAGGCTAGAAAGGTAGCTGGGAGCAGGCCTTGAGCAATTCAGAACTACTAAAAGATTTTAAGGTAGAGCATGGCATGGTCAGAGGTGAGATGTGAGTTATAAATAGCTCTTCTGAAAGTTGTAGTATAAAGGATTATTTAAAATGGGGAGGAGGTGTGGTTATCATTAGAGGGTAGAGACTAATTAAACAATCACTATAGTTATCTGGCCAAAATAAGATAAGGGTTCTAATTAGGGCAGGGCTATCAAGGGTCAAAAGGAGAAGGTGAATTTGAGAATTAGTTAGAAGACTAACATGTAGAAATTAGTACATAGTTTTATTGTAGGGAGTATAAAGAAGAACATCTAAAACAGGGGTGGCACATGAACTCATGTCATAAGCCAATTCTGATTAATTTCCAGTCTTGAGCAGTGTAAGTTGAAAAGATTTCTGAGACCATAGTGAGTTCAATAGAGACTAGCATTGCATGTACTAGCAATGACTTGTGAACTACACCATGGCAACGGAATCAGAGGTGGGGAAGAGTAGAACATGTGCTGTGTATTTGCCATCCCTGTCTAAAGGTGACTTCCAATTTCTAACCACAGTGACCCAAGAATAGTGACACCATTAACTGCCACTGGGGACATGGGAGAAGGTGACTTTTGGGTGAAGGAAAATTGATGAGGTTACTTTTAACAGTGTTGATTTAGAGGTCCCTATGAGACGTCCAAGTGGAAATATTTGGTGGACTGTTGAACATGTGAGACTATGCACTTCAAGTGAGATTAAGACTGAGGGAACAGATTTGGGAGTCAGCAGGAAATGGGACAGGTGGAGAAATTTACCCATGAGAACACATCAAGTGAGAAAAGCAGGGGGCCAACCAGGGAAACTTTAGGAACACTAAGGTTTAAGGGCAAGTCAGAGGAAAAGCCCACAAAGGAGACAAAAAAGTAAAAGGAGAAGCGGGACAGTGGAGGAAAAACTCAAGAATAAATGAGCGTGAGGGTGAGAGTGGGTCGTCTACAGTGTCAAAAGCAGCAGAATGGTCCAATAAGATAAGGACTAAAAAGTACTCTTTAAAAGCCTCCATAGATTACTGGTGGGAAAGAAGTCAGGCTCAAGTGTGTTGAGGATGTGAATCTGAGGTAAGTGTAGATGATCAGTACAGATTACTCTTCCAGAAAGCCTAAAGAAGATGAGAATTAAAGCAATGAAACACAAAGATGCAAAGTGAGCCACTGAGAACCAGAGATACAGAAAGTGGCCTCTCTTGCTCAGTGCTACATTTGCAAAGACAATGAAAGAAGGAAGGCAAAAGTCTTCCCATTGACTGCCCTAAGGGCCCACAAGAAATATTTTGTTTGCTTTTATTTGAGGTCTACGGCTTCCATTTTACAGAAAGCAGATATGTGGCCTCGGTCTGGGAATGGGCTGAACAGAACCAAGCTATAATTCATTGCTTTCTCACTGTAAGTTTTAGTTACTACCCCACAGACAGCTGCGTTCTCCTGTTCAGCCTTGTAAATGACTACTGATTATATGACACATACAGCTCTAAATCTTACAATAACTGCAATCTTTCATCGTGATAACAATAAAGAAAAAGTTCTGTGAATGCTAAACTTCCTCTACCATCCTAAATTACTGTTTTGCATATAGGGAGAGCTTTAGAAAAGCACATCACTATCCACCTAACAGAAAATAAAACAAAAACAAAAGAAAAGACAATGAAAATTTGAACTGAGAGTAAACAGCTGGAAGTTTGAAGTTTGCATAAAGCCAAATATAAAATGCATCTTATAAAGGATAGGGGCTGTGAATCACCAAGAACAACCCACAACTATTGTATTAGTAATCGGCATTAACACCACAAGAATTCTAGGGCTGTGTCTGAAGTACAATTGTTTTGAAAAAAAAAAAAATGTCTTGCAACAAATGAGAGTAAGTTATTCAGAATAGAGCGAAACTAAGACTTGGGATTGAGACAGGAATAAAGGGTGAAAAGTGGGAAAATCACACTATTTGCAATTATATTAGTTTCAGAAATCTAAACAACTATTGCATTTAATAACAACAGATTTGAGATAGTGAGCAGATAAACAATGACTATGACATCAAATTTATTTTCAATAAAGTAATACTGCATTTTTACATGCTAATTAATTACACAAGCAATAAATACACTTACATTCTGAGAAGAGCCTTATAAAAGGGCCGTGTGAAGAAGGCATCCAACAAATACTGGTGTATTAGTGCAAGACCAAGGATCCTACCACTGAACCGGAACCTGCAAAGGAAAAGCATGAGATAGCTTACGCTTTCTGGAGCAGTTTCTAAATGGTTTTACTTGCTTCCTAGAATGCCTTCCACCTCTAAGCATCTAAATTTGCCCAAGATTAATTGCCTACTAGGTCCGTGAGAGTTTGGGTGCACTGTAGGCTGGGTCTTCATCAGGCCAACAATTCATACCTATTTGTTGAAGAAATCTGTTTCACCCTGATACTCAAAAAGCTGCTCTACTGTCACTCCATGTCCATGATGTCCACTATGTAGCATCCTGCATTGCCAATGTGAATCCCCCAAACCACTTGTAAAAGATATTGACAGAATGAGATCACTGGTGTTGGGGAAAATGCTGCCCCTTCTAGCATATGTACATGAATATCAGCAGGATTTCTCTAATACAAACTCAGTAGCAATTCCCTTCTCAGGAAAACCCAATCTCAGATTAAGAAAGTTACTACCCCTATTCTCATTCAAATTCCACTCCTGTTGATATTTTTCACCAAGAATTATGCTGATGGGCATTTGGGGGAGTTTCCTTCTGGGACACTTTGTTCTCTAAAATCTCAAAGCTCAATTCTATTCTGAATCACTTTGGAAACTTTATTAAATATATTTGTTATGACTGGATTTACTGCCTTTCAAAAATACTCAAGTTTCTAGCTCTTTGAAAGTCTGATGCCTTCCAAAAGTATAAATCTACACTAAGATTCATACTTTAAGTTTGCAACTTTAGTGTTAGGCAGCTGTTTTAAGATTAATGCCCAGCATTTTGTTTCTCTTTATTTCCACTTATGTTAGCACAACTATAATAGCCACAGTTAGGAGGACTCTAAATTGTAGCTAAACGGAAGTTAATCTGAAGAATGAGTCCTAAAAGTCAACACCCTCCACCCACCGATATTAATCTCATGACTCAAAGAAGCTTTTTCCATGAGCCCTACTCATGTTCCTTCTTTGTTACTATCAGTAAAAATGAACAGGAACAAGCTAATAGGGGCTATACAAATACTTAAAGTCTATCAATGCAGTGATTTTAAAAAGATGTAACAACGTGTGGAAAGAGTGTAATTTGAGCTTTTCAGAATAAGTAATATCCAGATAGAATCCTAAGTCAGTTTTCCTTGAAGATTTTGTGCGAGAATTTAGGAAAGAGGCAACCCCTGGTTACAAACTTCAAATGGCTAATGCAGTGAGTAGCCACTGCTTGTGACTCCCCACTCCTGCCCTTCTACTGCTGTTCCTCTGGGTCACCCCGCCTGACCCCACTGTCTCTGGAACATCATCATCGCCTCTGCCAGAGGTCCAGCTGCTCCACACTCCACCCCGTGTCAGCCACTTCCCCATGAGCTTCTCTAGAAGCTGCCCAGACTCAGGCCAGGCCCTTTCTTTCTTTCTTCACCCCAGCTCACAGAAGCCCAAAGCTACAGAGAGGAATTTAGAGCTCTTGCCAAGAACCTAATATTATCTGTAACTTTCTTTTAATGGGAAAAAGCTTTTGAAGTTTTTTTCCAACTCACTTAAATTGATCTTATAGAACACAATCTATTTGTAGCTTGGAGACTGCCTGTGTATTTAAATTTGACCTCAAAAACAAGAGTCAAATGAGGTATTTCACTGGAAATATGATTTTTCCCCAAAGGAAAAAACTGTTAACAGAAATATAGATTCCTATTTAAAAAAACCTAGTATCACAGAATACCAACTGAAGAAAAGTGTTGGGGGGAAAAATACTTACCATTCATGGTGATTGTCTACAAAAGCAGACATGGGACTTATTTGTACTGTGTATGTGTCATTGGCTGAATATTCAAATAAGCCATAATATGGGTTAAAGAGTTCTCTGGATACCAGGAAGAAAAACTCTCTAGAAGGTCCACTGTAATCCAGCCTATAAAAAAATCCACAAAAAGAATCATCAGTTATTTTTATTTCTAGATATTGGGTGCATTTTCTCCAGTGCTCAACTTTCTATAGAATGCTCATTACAAGTCTAATTATCCACACATCAGATCTATCCAAAACAAACTGAATGATCACAGTTCCTGATCTCATCATATCTTGACACAGAATGGTAAAATAAACATTTACATGGAGCATATCCAAAACTAGGCTACATAACAGATAATACATAAAATAGGCAATATGCCAATACTTTGATTGTATAAATATATCCAAAAAGGTAAATATTTTAAATGTTGGGAGCAAGGTTACAGGGAAAGTGAATACAACAGGGAAGCTTAATTTAAAGCAGGGTAAAACCAGAGGGAATCAGCTACATATACTTATAGGACATAGAGTCCTCGTGGATGCCTGAGACATTTTTAAATGGGAGAAAAAAGAAACTTCTGTCAACTGGAGAGAGGATATTACAGACACAAGGCACTCTAGGGAGGTCAGAGACCAAAAATGGAATGATAGGGTACAAGTAAAAACTTTAAATTACAAAACACCAAGGAAAATTACAAACAAGAAAAATGAGTGTGCCTAAAGCTTCCCAAAGAAGGTATTTAGAGAAGAGGCTGAAACTCTACCACCTGAACTGCAGAATAAATTCTACTTTACTTATGAGGACATCAGGATCAAAGTGAAGTATAAGAAAATATTGCGTTAGGTTTGAGGAATGACAAGTGGCCAAGAATTCTGAGAGCAAAAAATGCAGTAGAGTTTGCAATACAGCTAATGTATAATGTTAAATATAAAGTACATCTACCCTATGGTAAAATGTATGCACATGGCTACAAAGACAGGGAGGAAGACTGTAGGGGGAATGAAACCAACTGAGAAGTTGGGGTGATAGAACTTTAGAAGATTTTTATTGATGTTCATTCTATTTTTTTTTCTCTTTTTGAATTCTTCTACGGGCATTATTGCATTTTTTTAAATGAAAAAGAAATCTGAGTCTTGTCCAGTGATGGGATTGTGTGATGGAGAAAAGGATTCTATTATAGGCAAAAGAAGGAGCTGGGATACTAGCAATATGTCTTATTTGAGAGATTAATAGAGTTTACATAGAACAGAATTCAAGTACTCACATACTACTTCCCAATTTTTATCATATCTGAATATATATGTACTATTATTTACATCATATTTTTCATTAAACCAACTTTAAATTTATTTGCTTTTATAACGTAACCTTGTCTTACACAATATTTATGAAGTTTTGATGTGCTAGCTCTATTTTTCCAATACCCATTAGAACATATACTTAAAATAAAAGTAGGTCTTCATGGCAGCCACGATTGTTTTACAGGCCACCATTGGTATCAATATCCTCATACCCATGCTGCACTGACAGGAAAGCTATGTGTGAAGAAAAATGCAAACAGCAGACTTCCAGGGCCAAAGAGGCCCCAGGCGACAGGACAGATCTGCCCTCTGGGGCAGCCGAATATAATGCGCTAACAGGTAGCCCCCAAGATTGGTGGTACTACCCTCAGTTTACCCTGAGGACTCCCAGAGCAGTCCTAGGGCTGCCTTTCTGGTGCAGAGATACACAGACTAGCTACCCCTCCTCGTGAGGGACAAGGCAGCCTCCTGTGGCTTCCTCCCACTGACCAACTTCTGCCCTCTGATGCCACAGAGAACAGGCAGAATATTTATTTCACTTGAATGTTCTTCGCATACTCAGAGGTTTGCTTTCGACAAATATTTGCTTGCCAGTTATGTTTTGAGTACTAATCTAGACCTTAACAATATAAAACTTTTTGAAAAGTCATTTTCTATAGGAATTCTAAGTTTAGCAGTTCCCATATCTCTGGTCTCTGATCCCTCTGCCTGGTCCCCACTCCCGAGCGTGACTGCTTCCTTCAACCTTCTCTCGGGGCAGGGGTGGGAATTCCCCCACCACACTGGTGGCATTTAAGACTGATGGCCACACTTGAGGTGTAGTCTTGTCAGCATAGAGCTTAGAAAGTCCTGGACACTTTTCTCCACTAATGCAGGCTGAGATTGCCCTGTTTTTTGGGGCAGCCACTTTGTTGACTCACAATGAGTCAGTCATCAGCTAAAGCCCCAAATCTTTCTCTATGCTGCTCTAACCCAGGACTCCCCCATCCTGTCTGCATGTAGCTGTATCTTTTAAAAACCTACTAAATTTCACTTTGTGAGACTTGGTCCCCTGTGGCTTTCCGGAAAGAGAGAATGCCAGTGGTCAAAGGCATCTTATTAACAGAAGTCATTTTGTCCAATCCCCTCCTTTTACAGAGGAGAAGACCGAGGCTGAAGGAAATCCCTGACTTGCACCAGATGAAAGCTGCGGTGGGAAAACCGGGCCGGACGCCTTAGAGGGTCCAGACCCTGAGTGTGATGCTTGTAACTCCTCACAGCCTCCCCTTTAGTAAATTTTAAATGTTCCTCAAGACCAAAAATGTACTACTTATACAGCAGGTGTCGGCAAACTACACCCTGTGGGCCAAATCTTCCCCACCCTCTGGTTTTGCAGATAACGTGTTACTGGAACACAACCGTGCTGCCCATTTATGTGTTGTCTGTGGCTGCTTTCTTGCTATAAGGGAAGAGTTGAGTGGGTACCCCAGAGAATGCATGGCTGGCAAAGCCTAGAATACTTACTAACTGGCCCTTTACAGAAATATTTTGCCAGCCCCTGTTATAGGAGAAAGAAAATACGAAGGAAATGCTACTTTATTAAAATATCTAGCTCACTATAAATCCTCCTCTTTAGTGACGATCTCCTCAAGGAAATATAAAATTGCTACGATATCCTAGGGTGTACACAACCTCAAGGAGTGGTCACAACTACCAAGTGTGAGACACCCAGTGAGCTCTGGTCTGCCACAGTCACTGCTCTGTGGGGCTCTCAGACCCACTCAAAGTACGCGATAGACCAGGGCCACAGACAGCTGAAGCATCAGGCAAATACTTCATAAGTCAGTTTTCTTACGAAGAGACAACTAGTATTTAAGTAAAATGGGATTTTACCTGCTTACAATTAAATTGTGGCATTCAATTAGAAATAGCAGGTTTTCTTTAAGCTTTAACTCTGAGTGTTTCATCAGAGTGCACTATGATTATCTGTTCATGTGTCTGCCTCCCCATACACACGAGCTCACACTGAGGGCAGGGACTATGTCATACTCATTTTTGTATCCCAAGTGCCTAGTCTGATACACAGTAGGGGCTCAATTTATATCGTTGAATCAGTGAGTGGAACTCTCTGACAATCTCTAAAGGAAATCACCACTATTGACATTACGATTTGGCATCTAGCACGGTGAACAAATTTGCACAAGTTTGCCTTCGAGTGGTATATTGATTCAATGACATGAACGGATTATGCCAATCCCTAAAAGACAACGCATTAGAAAACATTGTCAGAAATCACACAAGTATTAATAAATCATGCTTACAAAGTTTGGTGTATAATATCTTCTAATATGGTAAAGTTTGTTAAAACAACAAAGCTACATTCATTGTTTCCTTTTTTTAAATGATAATAGCTGAATCTGGCTGAAGATAAAAATGAATGTTCCCTGAGGAGTTAAAACTAAAAAGTAAAACTCTTTTTCCCAAGAGAAACAAAGCTAATAGTTCCTCTAGGAGGAAATGTGTCTTCCACTGGTCAGGTTTTGATCGGCTGCTTTTTAACTCTAGAGGGACTGATGGAGTCACTCAAAACCCGAGACAGTCTTTAAACTTTGAGTTGATTATAATCCCAAATTTAGAACTTCCTGAGAGTGGGCTGTAGATTACAATTTATATATAAGTCTACTAATTCAATAAAACATGTCACAGCAGGGTACATCATGCATGTGCTTCCTGTAATGTTTTAGCAACCTCTTTATATAAATAGTTAATATGACTCATATCACAGGGATCGTTTGTTACATTCTTGTTTTGCCTGTTAGGTTGGTTCCACAGCTAAAAGCTTGGCACGGAAATATAGAAACTGTGGACAACGGGTGTGTAGCCACACAACAGCTGCATCTGAGGGCATTTCTGAATAAGCGCAGATGTCTGTAGGGTGGCTGTGTAGCTTGGAGCCCCAAGTGCTGATAAAACATTTTAAACATCATCACGTTGCTAGGCTGGCACACTACCCAAGTTGTTAGTGGCACCCAATATTTGCTAAAATAATGGACTTTATTTTCCCATTCTTTATTTTTAGCTAAGAAGTACTGAAAACAAAATAGTCCAACAGAGGTAGACTATAAAAGGAAAGGAGATCATGGCCTTGGGAGGTCTCGCCATCATTTCCTACAAGTTTGTTCAGGCACACATGGCCTATGTACCTTCTGATTCACTCTGGGATATTTATAGCAGCAAGGCATTAGTTCTTGAGCCACTTAAGAAGACCTGGAAGGTGAGTAAGGCACTGTGATGTGACAACCAAAGTTTTACCTGGTGATCCCAAACCAAAGCCTAGACACAGAAGTGCCTTTCCTTAGCAAGATTTGGGTCTATTTAGGTCATCCTGTAAATGTCTCTTTTTGGAAGAAAACAAGCAGCACCATAAAGTTTACCTTGAAGCTTTACAGATTTCTGAGAAACAAATGAACAAGCTCAGGAAGCCACACAGCCTCTGATGAGGATCTGACCAGTCATATGTAAGAACTGTTGGTTATTTTATAAGCAGAGACTAAAGAAAACTGTTTAGGATCTCATCCTCCCTAAGTGCTTGCATTGGCCTGTCTCAGGAGAGACATTATAGAAAGAGCTCAACAGAAAGATATTACAGAAAGTTCTTAAACCTGCAAACTAAAACTGCACTCATCTCCTCCCTAGTGTGGCTTTGTAAGACAGATAATTGACGTCATGTTGATGGCACCTCACACATAATGAACTCATTCTTTCTTAAAGGAAGGTGCCTTTCACCGGGTTGGCCATGGAGGAAAAAGAGGTGGAGCAATCACAGTGTAAACATCCTCTCTTTAACCAGCCCATTATTTCTGTACTGTTTTGGGTACTAAGAAGTTAATGGACCCATGCCTTGTCAGAACACAATAGTCTAATTTAAGTGACTTCTGACATCACATACACTTTAGTTACTAGAACTTTTAATTCAAAAGAAAATAATGTGCAGGAGAATATGTAGCATAATAATAAAGCTGGAGATTATACAGAACAATATGCTGGAGACTGTGTAGTGTTTCACTGGCCTTGTCACTATAGAAGCAACATCTAGGCAATTGCGTGCAATTTCTCACCACATTCAGTCAAGATGACTCAGTTTCTAGCCACTCTGCCACTGCTGACCTCCTCTCCCTGAAACTTTGACAGGGCAGATAACCAAATTAAATTGGGTAGAAATTTTAATGACTAGAACAAAACCCCCAGCTCTAACAAACTTACATCACTAATCGCAAGATTTACTTTTTGAAAAAAGCCAAAGCACACACAAAATATTATTTTAAGGAGAAATAACAGTTCATTGTCAACTAACATATTTGCATTAATAGGCTCTAGGATTATTTTTGTATTTTTAAATTGAATATAGACATCCTTAGTATTCTAGGATTAATTCTACCTAATATGGAATTTGTAGCCATTCTACAAATTTTTGACTATAAATGTTCTCATCATTTCTCTGGACTCAACTTTTCTATTTCAGGAACAATCTATATATCATGTTTCAGACCTATGCAAAGAAACAGCTTAACGTAAAGCTTAAGTTTCTCTGTGAATCTACTAATTCACACCTTTTTGGAGGGCAGGTAGATGTATTATTCTTAAAAATGAATCCCTTTTCCTTTATGCCTTAGCTAATCTACTGTAAATAAAGACCCTGACCATGACAGGTAGAAAATATAATCATCTGGGTGGTATCAATAAGAATAGCAAAGTATCATTCCCTCATAGATAAAACATGAACAATGCAAAATAATACTCTAGACATACAGAAGCCCCTACTAATTTGGGCTTTCCACCGAATTAACTCTAACCATACACTTATTACTCAACTGACCTCAAGTACAAACGGAGGTACACACAGACCAAAATTGACTCTGGTGGCAGTCACTCATCAGACAACAGGAGATAAGAAAAGTCGTTCAGGGAAACATTTCCTAAGTCTCCCCAAATCCTGACTATGCTTTCTTTATGTAAAATTTTTCTTTTAGAATAGTTTTGATTTATAGATATGTTATAAAGATAGAACAGAGAGTTCTTGTATACCCCGCACACGGTTTCCCTCTTATTAACATCTTACATTAGCAGTACATTTGTTATAATTAATAAACCAATACTGATACATTATTATTAACTGAAATCCATACTTTACCCAGATTTCCTTAGTTTACCTAATGTCCCCTTTCTGTTTCATGATCCTATCCCGGAAATTACATGACATTTAATTGTCATGTCTCCTCTTGGCTGTGACAGTTTCTCAGACTCCTCTAGTTTTTAATGAACTTGACAGTTTTAAAGAAGGGGTGTTGTACAATGTCCCTCGGTTGGGATTTGTCTAATGTTTTTCTCATGGTTGGACTGGGGTTATGGGTTTGGGAGGAAGACCACAGAGGTAAAGTGCCATTTTCATACATCATCTCAAGGGTACATATTATTAACATATGACAGTTGTTATTAATGTTAACCTTGGTCATCTGACTGAGACAGTGTTTGTCACGTTTCTCCACTGTAAAGTTACTTCTTGTCCCCCTTTTCCATACTGTACTATTTGGAACAAAGTCACTATGCACAACATACACTTAAGAGTAGGGAGTTATGCTGAATTATTGGGAAATATTGTACATAGGAGATTTTTCCATTCTATTCCATTTATTTATTTATTCAATCATGTAGTTATATTGGTATGGATATTTATTTTATACTTTGGGTTATAATCCAATACTACTTTATTTATTTCATTGCTCAGATTATTTCAGCTTTGGCCACTGGGAACTCTTTCAGTTGCCTCTTGTGTCCCTTTAATGTACCCCCATGACTGTGGGCTTTCTGATGACTTTTTTACTTTCTGGTAAGTATTGCAAGGTGCTTCAAGGCTCCATCTTGTATATTTCCCACCCAGGTCCTAGAATCAGCCATTTCTCCAAAAAAAACCTGAGTTCTTTTTATTGAAGAATAATATTAGAAACCAAGATCTGGGCACTATACATATATGTTTTTAAATACATATAACTAGACCTAGACCTAGACATGAAGAACTTGCAAAATGATACATTTTGAGGGTGTTAAAACTTGTGAAGGGAAAGTAACAGAGAACATCCAGCTTCATTTTTATAGTTTAATGTTGTTAGCCTAAAAATTGGGGTAGCCTTTACTTTGGGTATTTACTATAATCTAGAAAGAAATGTTATGATCTTTTATTTTCATGTGATAGAGTTGATGTGTTTGAGGAGGCGGCAAAGGCTGAAAGAACTCCTGAGTTTTATGTTGTTTTCAGGCTTCTATTTTTTCAGCAAGAGTACTGTTTTAGCCTCTCAAAAACAGTATATATATTCTCTGTGGCTCAATAGCATAATAAAGTCTCTATCTAACAAACTATAAGTATGATATTGACTTGGTAAAGCCACGAGTCCAGAAATCAACTTCGATAAGCCATATGTAGAGGGAGCAGATTAAGAGATTGTCCCTGATAAAGGGAGGTCACACCTCAAAACATCCTCTCCCTTGTTTTGCCTCTGAGGTCACAGGAAGGAGACAGGTGGTGGAGGCAGGAAGCAGTTGGACATCAGTGGCAATCAAATACAGAGGTATCAAGCCCCACTCAGCCTGGGTGTCTTCCTATAGGAACTGACGTCATCAGTCCAAATCACAGGGAAACCGCTTTAAGATGATCAAGCATGATAAATATCTGTTCTACTCAAACTTAAGTATTGGTGCTTCCAAAGACTCTTCCCTACATCTCTGAGATCCCAACAAATTGTGATCCAACAACAAATAGAGGCAGCTGGAGTTCTGGGGGAAGAAAAGTATTCTCATCCAAACTAAACTGATTATGTAAGGAAATAGTTGGAATCCCATGCATACCTGTGATTAGACTAACAACATTTGCGTTCATTTTCAATTGTGCACCTGCATCTTTAAACCAACTAACACAGGCTAGAAGTTCGCATGTGCATAACAACAATGAAAGGCTTAAGTCTCAAGCAAGCTTCTGTCCAAACTTCGTCATGTTCCCATAAAATATTTTACTTTAATCTAGGCAGAGTTGGGAGATTATATGTGACAAGAGCAGAAGTAATCAGTCACTAGCTGGAATGGTATAAAGGTCCAGGGGTAGGAAAAAAATTCAGATACACTAGAGTTCATGAGTTTTGCTTACATCCCAGTGCTGGTCCAAGAGTAATGAATGAAAGACAAAGGCCTGGGTTCAAACCCCGATTTTCCTTTTCCCTAGCTCCATCAGCACAGGCCAGTTACTGTACACACTGGTGTCTGCTTCATCAGCTGTACCCTGAATACTGATTTGGATATTACTACTATGATTCTATCATCTAATGTACTTTATTCCTGGGCATACTGACAGGGCTACCCTCAAAACGATACATATCAGGCTGTGTGCGGTGGTTCATGCCTGTAATCCTAGCACTCTGGGAGGCTGAGGCGGGGGATTGCTCGAGGTCAGGAGTTCGAAACCAGCCCGAGCAAGAGCGAGACCCTGTCTCTGCTATAAATAGAAATTAATTGGCCAACTAATATATATATAGAAAAAATAAGCCGGGCATAGTGGCGCATGCCTGTAGTCCCAGCTACTCGGGAGGCTGAGGCAGCAGGATTGCTTGAGCCCAGGAGTTTGAGGTTGCTGTGAGCTAAGTTGATGCCAGGGCACTCACTCTAGCCTGGGCAACAAAGCGAGACTCTGTCTCCAAAAAAACAAAAAACAAAAAAAACAAAATGATACAAATCAGCAGTATCAAGGAAAACACAACTAGAACTCAGACAACTGTATGGTATTTTTAAAATTCCCTCTCCTGGCTGCTGGGTTATATAAGTAAGGTGCTGAGACCCAAACCGAGACGTGAAATAAGGAAAGAGGAAAGGTTCAGGAGGGACGAGGACCGCCATATTCTAAGTGACGTAAAACAACTGTTGCGCCTATTCGGGTGCAGCAGACACTGTGTGGGAGTCTTCACCCCTCAACTTCCTAACCCTTATCTGGCTGAGCACACTCATGGCTGAGTCACTGGAGGCCGAACATGTTTGCTTACAGCAGGTAGCTGTGCTGGTAGGCGTGCCGCCCTCCAAGGGAAGAGAGAATCTAAAGGCGGAGAAATAAGGACCAAGGCCCGAGTTACTACTGCAGAGGCTTCCTGAAGAAACAGCAGGATTCAAATTCATGTTTCTGAAACTGAACTTATTTAACAGGTGAAACGTGTTCTACTTAGCACTCCAGGGCAGAAAAAAAGATCGTAGATGTTAAAAAGCAATTCCTTATTTTTTTTCCCCCTTAAACCCTACTTTTTCCCTTTAAGAGAAAGAGAGAAGCAGAGAGAAGAAACCAAACCAGACTCCTGCTCTCAAAAATGACCTATAGCTACAAGGTTTTACCAAAGAATTTCTATGTCAAATGATTTAAAAACCAGAGGAAGCCTTAAGAAGAAAAAAGCCAAGGTTTAAGCGTATGAGAACAGCATTTCCTGCCAGAAGGATTTCCTGTTTTAGGCAACCACAGCGATGTGGAGAAACATCCGCCCTGTGGCCGCAGCGGAGCACTTCTCTGTTCTACTCACCCTTCCTCCCCAACGAAGGTGACATATAGCTTGTTTCTCTGCAGATCTTTTCTGGAGTAGCCCATAATCTGATTAAAAGCATCTTCTAGTAAGTGATCTCTTCGGATAATTAATCTGTCCATAAAGAGACAATGTGAAAAATACAGATTATTTCCTGATCCTTACTTTCTAGAATTTTGCATTTGCCATTTGATTTCCATTTATCACAAATAACTAGGTGAGAAGCAGCAGAGTCACTTAATATCACTGCTGTCTGCAATAAAGTACGTTTCTTTTTAACTCTTAATAGCATCAGCAAAAGTTACATAAGAAAATCATTGGTAAATAGAGCACCCCATCTATGACCTGTAAAAACAACTGCAGAATCCTTTCTGAATGGTCAAATCAATTTATCCAAGAAGGAAAATGATCATAAAACCACACACATGCACACATACACGACTTTTGTTCAGTAAAGCAAGAATATGAAGTGATAACGTTTTAAGCCTCAATGTACCTAGACAAGGAATCCAATTATTAAGTACCAAGAGAGATGACTTTGAGAACCAGGAAAAAAAAATTCCCAGTGGCTTCCAAAGCAGAGGAGTTTACAATTGTGCTTAATTTTTAATTTAATTTTTTAAATTAAGTGAATCTTGAGATTCCCTAAGGGATAGGTATAAATGAATGATGCTTGTGGCTGGTTAATCTACTTATGATGATGACAAAGTCATCCTTCCACAGATATCAATGTTCCCTTAACGTCAATGGCAATGAACAGGGAGATGATAAGGTGGCCAGTGCATGGCAGCTGGATCATCCAGACCTTCAAATGTCAAGTGCGAGTAAAGAAAACCTCAGAGAGGTATGGTGCTTGGGGAAGCTGATTTTTTGACAGCGATGAAGGTGGAATTTAACTGAGCAAGCCTTTTTGTGCATGGGGCAGTGAGCCATGAGGCTCTTGCCGGGTTGGCCCCTGGAGCCTCTCTCAGGGTCACAGTGGTGCATTAGTGGAGATCTTGCCTCCTTTGTCCTCTCTTAGTGGCAGAATGATCTCTAGTGGGGACATGGAATGGAGTAAAGGTGGGGAGAAGAGAAGGATGTTATAATAAGTAGGGAGTGAAAACAATTCTAGGGTGAACAATTCAGCTTCCCTATTTAAAGGGAGGTAGATAAAGAAGGGCAAAAATGACATTCATGACATATTCTGTTGCGAAGTTTGCTTCAAAGAATCAATAGAGCCAAGCACTATTCCTACACTCAGGTCATCTCAGGAGACAGGGACTTGAAGTATAGGACACTGTGGTAGCTTTATATCTAATGAATATACTACATGCCAACAAAGAGGTGCTTTTCAGAAGAACAAAATAAATCAGCTCTTTATTTTGCATGTATTTTTCCATGGAAAGTGGCAGTGTCTTCACTGTTTTTAAACCTCAAGCTTAAATCGTGCTTAATTCCAGAATGATGTTTTAGATGACACTAACCTAAAACAAAGGCTAGTCATCCCAAGTCATAATCAACTTCCTAAATTCCCAACCATATCCCATCCTTTTACCACCTATAAGTCATGTGGTTGGTAACACTTTGACTTACTTTAATTTCCCTGGGCCTTGTCCATATCCTTTCGTCTCTAACTTCCTGTAAAAGTTCCTTAGTTTGGCTTCAAAATCTCGCTTGTAAGGGGCTGGAGCTCTGGCATTGGCACGCTGAGTACCTACGGAAAACCACAAAAAGAGGACAATCTGGATTTGTGTGTTGTCCTAATGTTCATCACCTCACCATGAAAAAATACTATCACAGGTAACAAGGAAAGGAGGCAATACTTTTAGCTTCTGCATTTTCATCTCTCCATTTGAAGGATGCAACAAACTTTAACCACAAAGTCTTAAGAGATATCTTCTTTGTGACATTTTGGTTGAGAATAAAAATCCTGTTTGAATAGTTACAGTGGTGCTCATGTGTTTCTCAAGTATGTTCCCCTTTTCAGTTCAAACTAAGATGAGTCAAACAGAATTACTCATGTCTAATGGTAACTGTTTGGGATGGAATGTCTTTGCTTGCTGTTGAAATGATATCATGGCAATCAGACAGAAAGTTACAATGTGAAAGAAAGTATGTGCTACATAAGGCAAGAATAGTGAGTTTTTATCATTTACTCTAAATTCTTCACCAAAAACCCCCCACAAAACTCCTTCAGATCATGTCATCACAAAGAATGACTTTAGATGCACAATTACATGTATTTCATATTGCACAGTAAAATAATCTTAATACAAAAACTGAATTCAGACATAATTGCCAAAGGCACCATACCTTCTGGTTATATAAAAAGTAAATAATGCTAACATTTATTACATTCTTAATATGTACCAAGTACTATGAATATCTACAGATTATCTAAATATATTTTATATGTCATTCAATGCCAAGTATCATGAACAAAATGCAAAAGTAACATAATTTGTACTTGTTTCCATAGAAAAATCTGGCTTGGTGTTACAAGGTGACTAAACAACAAGGCAGGATATAAAACGGATGATGAATATGAGAATCAGACACGGAGCCATGACAAAAACACTGGATATTTCCACTAAGTATTTCCAACCTCAATGAAGGAAACCAGAAAGCAAAAATTGTGAAGTCTGGTTCATCACATACTATGTAAGTTCATTAAAAGTTTCTTGAGCAAATGAATCAACTAAACGGTTATTATTTGTCACTAATACTGTGTTAGGTTTAGCAGCAGAAGCCCTAAATGAACAAGGCAGGGTTGCTGGAGTAGACATCTTAGGCGGGGGACAGAAATAAAACATCAAACAATTAGAGAATAATTAAGTCCTACCCTAGATGGTATACAGACTAGAGTACCAAGAGAACACAGCTATACCCGTGGGCTGTACCCAGCCCTATAGATCTATTTTGTTTGCCCCACAATCTTTTTGGAAGACTTTAAATTAACTGTCAACATCTGAAAATTAGGAGATTTCAAAAAAAAAAAAATCTCAACTTCTCTCTTGAAAATTATTTGGGAAGTCTTGCAGTAACAAGTGTGCATTTCCCTGGCCCCCCTTGGCATTTGCATTTGAGATCAGTGTTATAGAAAAGTAATGGTAATGTTACAGAAAATGAATGAGTAGAAGCAGAAATCAAAATGGAAAACAACTAGGGAGGAGGCTTATTGGAACCAAACCTTGTAAACGGGGAAGAATTTGCATTTTATACTGGGCACAGCAGCAAGGGCTGCAATAAGCATTGTATGTGTGTTCAGAAGACACTGACGGGACCCTGATAACCTAAAGGGGAGAAGGGATGGCTGGGGAGTAAACGGGACATTTAATCGAATCAGAAGGTCTGGGACCAAATTATGAGAGGAATTTTAAAAATCTAGCAGAGGAGTTTGGGGATGATGCAGCCAACAGGGGGAAGCCTTTATAGGTTCTTGAGCAAGGGTATGACATCCAAGTGGTGTTTTATTTAAGAAATTATTTTCAGAGTGTGTTGAGTGAATTAAGGGTGGCCAGAGAAAAGAGCCCCAGTTACGAGTTGCTGCAGCAATTGAGCCCTGAGGGGATAGGCCCAGACTGGAGTGGGTGACTCAGAGAAACATTTACAATGTGAAATAAGCATGGGGAACAGAGCAGATTAAGTACGGAAGAGGAACGGGAAGTGTTGATAATAAATATAAAGTTTTTTGTAATAAGAACAACAACTATCATCTGTTAAATGCCTACTGTACATTACGAACAATGCACTTTGCATAGGGGATCTTGCAAAATCCTCACAAGTCTCTGAAGCAGGTATCATTATAACCATTATCACCACTTTGCAACTAAGGAAAACAAAGACGCAGTTTCCTGCCGAAGTCACATGCCAGTGACAGCAGATTTGGGATTTGAGCCAGACCTGTTAGATGCTGTAAGTAGTTGGAAAATGATGCTGGTGGACGGGGCATGGGAAACTTTATACCCATTGAGTTGGAGATGGCAGCCAGCCAGGTGGATGTGCTCTAGCAGCACTTGAAAATACAGTTCTTGAGTTGGGGTGAGAGATCAGGGCCACATGTGTGGATTAAATGAGTTAGTGTGTGTATAGCACTTGTGCAGTGCCTGTTGCTTAAGAAGCCCCATATAAGTGTTAGCTCTTGTTATATGCATAGAGGAGAATACTAAAGACATGGGGAAATGTGATGGGTTTTAGGAATGAATTTGGACAAAATTTGTATAATAATCTATCTAGAGATCTGTTTGCATAGTTATGAATCTTTTACCCAAAGAGCTAAGAGTTATGTTATAAAGAAAACAAACTTGACCTTAAAAGGTATGGGAGGCAGAAGAGACTGCTAGGCAGTGGTTCTCAATCTTGACTGCACCTTAGGATCACTTAGGAAGCTTTAAAAAACCCCAACATTCAGGCCACACCCAAGGTCCACTACATCAGAATCTGTAAGGGTGGGACTCAGGCATGAGTGTTTTATACATCTCTCCAGGTGATTCCAATGTGCAGCCATGGTGGAGAATCGCTATTCCCTTACAGAAAAGTCAAATATAACCAACACAACACATGGGCAGCATCCAGGCATTAACACAGGGCAATTGCTTCCTGTGTATTTAAAAGGCATCATTTGTAAACACGAAGGAACGTGATCTCCACAAGCACAGGCTACTCTCCTAGTTGGATGAGAAACATGACAGTGCAGTCCAAGTCCACTCAGAGGTGGTACAATAAAGTTGTCAGTGCTCCAGTCTGAGAAACTGTGGACTAGTAAACCCAGACAGTACAGTCAGTCAGCCTTCCTGAGCACAATCATTGATAGGGAAGAGGAAAATGAAGAACAAAAGACTGAATGAAAATCTTCAAGAGTCAAAAGATATACAATTCTTTAAGAGTTGATTACTTTAAAAAACAGCACATACAGTATACTATTGCTGTATAATTTGAGATGCTTAAAAGGATGTGGGAAATGCCACAATGCATTCCATCAATGTCAATACAAACACAATAAAAATTAGCTCTGACTCTGTTTACACTCTAGGTAAAGGGATTTAATTACAAAGACTTTGGAGACAGCAACTGTTAAATGCAAAAATTATTTTGCTAGTAGTTCTATTATTAAAAAAACTACATATTGCTTCATCATTTTAAAATTACAGTAAATTTTGCTGTTGGCCTTTGCCAAATTCTTAATACAAGTCAGGTATAAGTGCCAAGGAATTCCAGAGCAGGAACGATGTTACTTCCACTTTGGAAATAAAAAAGTTCTTGGAAGATTGAGCTGAGAGAATTGTATGGGAGCCATAACAGCAAGTGAAGTTCTAGGATATAATACTTTTACAGAGAGAGTAATTTTATGGTCTTTTCAGTCCTAAAAAAGAAAATCAGACACAAAAAGTCAATGTCACATTAATAAGTGATCAAATGAAGGGTTGACTTTATGGATAGTCAACAATATGCTAATTACTTGCAGGAAAAATGTCAGCAACATATTATATTTTTTTCTTTGTTATTGCTAGCCAGACCTAAAGAACTTCTGCATAGTGTTACCCTATTTTCATATACTTTTACAAAATTGCATAATCATACACAAACTAAAGACTGCCTGACTAAATATTTCCGATGACACTACGTCAAACTCCTGAGCAGTCTGAGTCTTTTTCAATGCTGGGTGTGCAGCCCAGAACCCAGATTGCTCTGATGACTGGCACTCACTCTGCATTAGACAGGGCTTGGAGCTTAGCCTAATCCAGCATGGCTCCAGGCCTCTGTCCTGGGATGGCTCAGAAGCCCACTTCTTTCCTGGTTCACCTTCAAAACATCTCTATGACGTTAAAAAAAAAAATCCCCTATTAGTAAATGAGAACAAAATATTGAGCATTATAATAATTTCTGGAAAGCTCTATCTTCTGGAACATAGCTCAACACTGGAACTTAAGAAGAAAACATGTCCAAAATAGCTGGCACAAAGCACTAGCGCTGAAGTCTGTGCATGTTTGCTTCATTCTCCAAGAGTAGTACAAGGCTCTCAGGTCAGTTTTTGAGCTTGCTGATGCTCATGTAATATCATTTATGGAAAACACCAAGTGATGCTCTGGTTTCTCAAACCTTGACAAAGTTATTGGCAAAGAAGCAACTTACTAAAAGAGGAAAGCTGAAGGGTCTGCCAATGGCAGGCATTCTCTGACAGCAATAGGGGTGAGGACACGGGAGACTAACAACAGCAACCAATAAAACCTCTATACTGTGATAGGGACAGTATCTGGGGCTTTCCTTCAGCCCCTGGAATTACAACTCTAGGATACTACCCCACCCGGGGTGGTATTTGGTTCCTAGATCTTTTTTTGTAGTGCTGAGCCAAGGGAAGGGATAGAATATTTAAAAAAAAAAAACAAGTATAAAGCTATTTTAGGGATTGTAGGAAAGATGGGAGAAAAGAGAGCAAGAGAAAGACAGAAATAGAGAGGAAGAGAGAGGGACGGAGGAGAGGGAGAGAGAAGAGGAGGAGAGAAGAGAGAATGTTTGTGAAAAGAGTAGGAGATGAGATAAACAGATGCTAAGACTTTACAGGAAGAGAGAGAAGAAAAGATCCTTAAGGAGTCCACCATGTGTTGGGAGAAATAATTCCCTCTCACAGCCTGTCCCCTCAAGATAACCTTCAGCAAAGACCCACAAGGCTCTTCCATGCTCTGAGTGTGTTTTACTTTTGTTGAATGTGACTTCGTGCCGGTACTAGCTTCCAGGGAGTCCAGTTCTAGTCAAGACAACAGCTCTGCCTCATAATTCCTCAGCACAACAATCCCCCAAACCATGAGATATCCTAATGTGCTGTGTATAGGAAAGCAAGGAGAAATACAATGCACTTATAAAGGAGTTTCAGCAAATAGTGGGTTAAACAAATTCTCATGCAATTAAAGTCACGCAGTTAAAGCTTTGGTTAACCTGGAAAATTCACATAAGAGAGCAGCACCAATAATATTAGACAAATTAGGTGTCACTGCATTTAAATTCCTAGAAATGTGCAGCTTAAATAAACTTCTGGGTTCCATATTTGGCGTTATAAACCATATGGTGTTTGGAAAGATCTTTTCCTTCTGGCATCGCTGGGTTGGGATTGGCATTATAACGGTCCTAGAAAAACAAACCTTCACATTCCACAATTTTGACAAATTTTAGGTGAGCACTTGAACAGCTGCAAAACGCAATGAGTCAAAGTTTCCAAAGCCCCTTTCTCTCTGTACTTGAAAAGACATGTAAATGTGCTTGGAATGAGGAAAAGTGTGGAAAGTTTACCAGGTTCCTAGGCATTCTGAAGGAAGATCATTAAAATTTATTATTGTTGTAATTTTCACGATGTTATTCTCACACCACTAAGAGGGGTGAAATTCTAGCCACAAGGAGGAGGATCAGATCACTTTTAAAAATCTGTTTGAAATGCTGCTTTCACAAAACCGTCAGGAATACTGGTAGAAGGAGAAGCTATTTTATACAAAGAAATGGAAGATTCCTCCACAGGGGAAATGAGGATATCTAGTCCTTCCCTTGGCTCATGTGGAACTAGTTAGAGTTACTTCCACTGATATCAGGCTGAACATCCCAATTTCAAGATCAAACAAAGCCCACTGAAACAGAGTAAGCCAAAAATATGGAGATCATTCTTCCTGAAAATTAAAGCCACCACAAACACTGCTAGCAATTTAGATATATTTGGGTTACACGTGTCTTTGGAAAATGTTTAACTCTAAGTTTCCAGATACATTTTTTTTTTTATTGCCACCAAGGATTACTCATGTGCATTTGTGATGCTAAATGAAGAAGCATGTTTTGTCAGTATTTAGAATGCTCATATAGTCTCCAAGAATGTTCAGTGGTCTTCAAGAGCATGCCTTTGCAGGGCTCCAAAGAGACAGAATCTGGTGATCTCCCTTTCCTTGGGGAGGGTGAGCCACAGAAAAGGCCTGGAAGGAAGAGCCTAGACTAGCACAAGCAATAATCCACACGGCTCCATTTCCTTGACCATAAACATCAGGTAAAGGACAATCCATTTTAAACTTCAGCACAGGTTTTACCAAGATAAAGACCAGTCAGGATGATTAAATATCTAAGCAGCCAGCTCTGCAAATCAGGAAGAAATAGATTCAATTATTCCAAGTATTAACAGTTCAAATAAGGACAAACCATGCTTCTTGGAATCAAATTTCCAGAAAGAAAGAAAAAAGGGATAAATTAATGTTTATTATCTACTCATTATGTTCCAGGCACCAGGCAAGGTGTTCTCTCAAAAATAACTGTGAGAAATGGGGTGATTATTATTATTATGCCCATTTTACAGAAGAAGAAATTCAGGTTCAGGGAAGGCGGTAAATTGCCCAAAGTCCCACAGTTGCTAAATGATTGAGGCCAGCTGGGAATTCTATCCATTTCCCCCTACACCTTTAAACTTACCTGTAGTATCCTATACTTATTTCCTCCCAGCCTATGTCATCAAAATAGTTGTCCCTACATTATTCGAAAGCTGGCTGTGCTGCTGCCTCCACTGTCCAGCCTTCCCACGGCCCTGTGCCGTGTTGACCACGGCTTCTTTGTCGCATTCCACCCACCACTCTCCTTCCTCCCACATCCCGTGACATCTGCATACACATGTTCAGTCTTCCCCACCTCAAATCCCTTCCTACCTCTTCTTCCTCTAACTTTTGTCCTATTTTGTCTTTTTTTCACCTCCACACTTTGTGAAAAAAGCATTCACCACTCCTGGACTCTACCTTACACCCTGGATCCTTCTGTAACTGGTGACAATCCAGTGTATGACCTATCACTTCATGGGACCCGCTTTGGCAAAGCCCATTTATAACTTCATGATATTCACATCTAATGGCCTGTTTTCAGACTCATCCTTTCCGAACCCTTTGAGCATCTGGCCCTGTTAACCACTCCTCCTCAAAACCTGGCTCTCCTGAAAAGACTCCCTGGTTCTATTCCAAGATCCACTGGCTTTCTTTCTTTCACTTGCTCCTCTGCCTCAGACCATCCCTTAAATATTGGGGTTCCTCATGTCATCACCCTCTGTTTTCTCATCTTTTCACTGACTTGTCCTCCCTAGCTCTTCTAAGCTACACTCTGGGTTTAAACTGCCACCAGTATACTGATTTTCTAGCTGTCAACCTCTCCTGAGCTCTATGACTATCTTTTCCAGTTGTTTTTGGGTATCTCTAATTGATGGCTCAAAGATTTCATGCCAAATATGTCCAAAATCAAACTCATTTAAACTCTCCTCTTCAGTCTAAACCTTTTCTGTTCTTGGTGGATGGTGCTACCATCTGCCTGTTAGTTTAGGTGGTGAGGACCTTCAAATCTGCCTTGATTTTTCTCTACCTCAACTTAAGAGTGTTAATGTCTCTATATCCTACACATCCCTTCAGTTAATTCCCTCGTTTCCCTCTCCACTGCCATTGTCTAATCCAGCCTTGTACCCTGTCACTCAGGCTAACACAACAGCCCCCCAACAATCTCTCTCACTCCGGTCTCTTGTCTTCTAATCCATCCTCCCTATTGCTACCAACCGGATCTTCGAAAAACAGGATATTATTGGTATTCTCATTTATAAATTATCTTTGGTTTCACACAGACTACAAGGGAAGGCTTCAAAGACAAACCAGCACTAGCCTACCTTTCCAACCTGAGCTCTGAGAACTTCTCTTCATATGTCTCTATTAATTCCCCTGAACAGCTTTCATGTTTCTGAGGCATAGGTTCTGCTACCCCTTTGACTAGAATGACCTTCTTTCCTTGGTTCACCTGGTAAACTCCTAGTCATCATCCTTCCAGGCTCCACTTCATACCTGTTATCTTCACCTTGACCCAAACACCCCACCCCCAGCACTGAAGGAGTAGTTGTTCCCACATCTGTGCTCCCATACATTTCTTCATTACAGGACTAACTACAGAGCTTTACAGAGTCATTTGTTGACTCACTGCCCCACCATGAATTCTTCAAAGGCAGAAAATGTATCATTCATCTTTGTAGTCCCAGGGTCTAATTCAGTGCTTGGATCATAGTTGGATGCTCAATAAATCTGTGTTGAATGAACAAATTAATAGACCTTTTCCTGTCTGCAGTATTCAATTAGGCTACAGCTTCATTATCATAGCAATATGGGGAAACACATGTTATATATCAAAGAACATAATAGAAGCTTTTTGTGACACACGTGGAGTTTAGATCTCTCTTTGAAATAGTTTTAAATTCTGATAGCTGTTAAAGTGTGAACAATACATTGCCTATATATTAAGGATAAATATAGCTGACGTTCTGTCAACATTATGACTATCTTCCTTTAAAAAACCTCATTTGCTAAGCTGCATTTTCTATCATTAATGCAACCATTCACTCCTCATTCACACATACTTTTTTCAACAAATGTTTGAATGTACATGGTTTAGTTTATCTATAAACATGTTCTATCTACCCATATATCTCTGTTCTTCCTATCTAATGCAATTAGTGATTACTGTAGGAAAAAATATCCAAGTCCATTAAACTGAATAATTTAAATTATATTTTATTTCTTGAAGTGTAGAGACTTTACTTTTATGGTCTATCAAATTGGTCTCTTCACTAGAACTTTTTAAAGTCAAAAAGCAACATAGTACTTTGTGCCCTAATATTTTCCAAGGTACATTAGGCACTACATAACATAATGAAAAGTAAATTCTCCATCTGAGTATGTCATACTACTAATATTTATCCTCCTATTCATCACCTCTCTGTCAAAATAAATCCCCATGGAAACAAGCCACTCTTAAGAGAAAGGAAATGCCACACACGAACCTGTGCTAACACTAACGGTGTATCCAAAGTGTTCCCTTCCTGTCCTTTATGAAGGTCAGAACGTGTGACTTGAGGGCTCATTCCTTAGAAAACTCACTGTGAGCAGCAGGTAGACTCACCTGGCGAGTTCTGAGGAGATGACACGGGGGAGCCACGTGGGGACTGACAGTAGCTGGGGTGGAGTAAGGCATGTGGAGGCACATATGACATTATCTCTTCTTCAAATAAACTGGGGAAAGACAGGAAACAAAATGGGCACATTAGCCAAAAAAGTAGGGAAAAGCCTAAAGCCTGAACGTGTAAAACAGTTGGTCTCTCACCCTGACCCATTCCATCAAGACCAAGTTCACTTCCCAAAGGGAGCACCCGTCCTCTTTCCCTTGCAGGTAATTCTTGGGGCAAAAGAGCTGGCTATTGTAGCTTTTGTGAAATCCATGCTTATTTGCCAACTTCAGAGAATATGATTTCTTTTTAGCATTCTAATATGTGAGTTTGAATGTATGTATTTGTTTGAAAATTGTACCTGGGTTTTTAGACTTGGACATAAGATTCAAACACAATAGAAAATGTTTATTGAGAACCCACAAGTATGTTCTGTATCTTCATTCCAAGAAATATGCAACAGGGTCGCAGCCTTCAAAGAGCCTGGGATTTAATTGGATAATTAAAAGCAAAATAAAACAAAATACTTCCTAGATAATTACAACTGCTAAATAATTAGCTCCCTTGTTTACCCTGGCTACTGTTTTTCAATGTGAGGGTTTTGATCTTAGATTATTTGTCATTTTTCTCCTCCATATTGAAATTTGTTTCTGATACTCTCCTAAAAGATAGTAACCAGAGACCTGAGATCTTAGAATCCTAGACTTTTCATTAAATACTATGAGAAAGAAAACTACAACTGACTTGAGCACTAAGCTCAAATATATAACCATTTGGCAAAATAGAATTAAGATAACAATAAAAGTAAAAGAACTCATGTTTTTTTAGTTAAGAGGTAGAAGGAGGTTTCTTTTTCTTCAAAGTTGGCCAAACTTAGAAACCTATTACTTGTTTTTGGAAAAAATTCAGTAGAAGTGGCAACAGTTCAATCTTGTAGAGATTTAAGGAAAGGACTCCTAAGGGTTCTAGCACTGGTTCTAAACTGAAGCAATTTTGCCCCCACCTCTCAGGAGACATTTGGCAATGTCTGAGGATATTTTTGGTTGTTGTAACTGGGGGAGGGGGTGCTATTGGCGTCTAATCGGTAGAGGTCAGGATGCTGCTAAACATCCTGCAATGCACAGGGTAGCTCTCTGCAAAAAATGACCTAGTTAGCCCCAAATGTCCACATTACTGAGGCTGAGAAACCCTGGATTATAGAAGTGCAATAACAACACCTCGGATAGGCCACTGTAGCCGAACAATTTTTATGTGATGGTTTTTCAAATCACCATTCTACTTTCAAACCGTAAGTCAGAAGGTATGGAAATAGTAGCAGTAAGTACTCTCGCCTGTAATACCAAATTAAGGCATAAGCCTTTTCAACTGTACAGGACAGTGTCAATTTGTACTCAAAAGAGATTGTAGAAACTGCAATCCAATCCCACCAAGCCCAGACAATATGAGTTTCTATGTCTCATTTGGTATCATCAGACTTTTTAATTTTACAAATCTAATATGTGAAATGGCATCTCATTATTTGAAATTGTATTTTATAATTAATAGCATCTTGGCCGGGCGCGGTGGCTCACACCTGTAATCCTAGCACTCTGGGAGGCCGAGGTGGCCGGATCGTTTGAGCTCAGGAGTTGGAGACCAGCCTGAGCAAGAGCAAGACTTCGTCTCTACTATAAATAGAAAGAAATTAATTGGCCAACTAATATATATAGAAAAAATTAGCTGGGCATGGTGGTGCATGCCTGTAGTCCCAGCTACTTGGGAGGCTGAGGCAGGAGGATTGCTTGAGCCCAGGAGTTTGAGGTTGCTGTGAGCTAGGCTGACACCACGGCACTCACTTTAGCCTGGGCAACAAAGTGACACTCTGTCTCAAAAAAAAAAAAAAAAAATAGCATCTTTCCATGAGTTTGTTAGCTATTCATACTTCAATTTCTATGAAATGCCTTTTCATATCCTTTACTGATTTTTCTATTGGGTTCTCTTTTCTAAATTAAATGAATTTTTTATGTATCCATAACCTCTTTGTTTTAAGTGTTGTGAATATGTTCTTCCGGTTTATCTTTCTTTATGCCTTTATATGTGGCATCTTTCACTATAAAAACTTTAAAACTTTTATATAGCCAAATTTATCAATCACTTCCTATATGAGATCTGACAGAGGCATGTTTTTTACATGACTAGAATAGTGAAAGAATACATTAAATAGAATAATCAACAGCAAATTCAACAAGGTCATTTAAAAAGTCTCCCTATTTGGAAAATAATTATATATGGGTTTATTTTTAATTGAATAACATCCTCCCAGACCTATACATTCTCTACATTGCAGCTTCCTGACAATCAAGTTCATTTGTATCAGGAGTGATTTCCCTTTTTAAGAAATGGACAAAACATAAAGATAGCCACAAAGTCTTCCCCTATGTTTGCAACAAGTACACTGCTGGAGTTTACAGTCACCGATTCATATCACTCAAATCCCAAAGCAAAATAAAAAATAAAGAACTAAGATATGAATAAAACCCCTAATTTTCAATAATCATTAAATATTATTTCTTAAGCATGTACATGCAACACACTGTGCCATTTGTACTATTATTAAAATAATAAACACATTCGATCACCCAAATGAAATAAAAGTCTAAAATTAAATAAGCATATGCACTAATCATAGAACTATTACATATAAGTGAAGTTCTCACACTTCTTCAAAGGCCCATTAGCTTCAGAGAACATGCTTATTTTCTCAAACGGGGAAATGTAGCCTTGCTCTTTATATAATATATGAATGAGTTTTCAAATTTTGAATACTTTGAATTCAACCTCATAACACACAGAAACTATGCCAATTGTGGTATTTACTGAAGTATAAATATTCTAAGCTATGGTATAATAAAATATTTAAGGCTATAGCATCTAAAGATTATTTAACTAAGGACAGGCAAATGATAATCATGACTTCTATTTTTACTAATTTCAAAAGCAGAATTCTTAGTTTAAATGAAAAAAACCTCTTAGTTTTCTAGAAAAAAGCAAAAGAGTCATAACCTAGCCAGAATTTTATAACAAAATTCTGTAACTTAACTATTTTATCACCAACCAAACTATCACAGAAACATCATATCCTAATATTAATTGACCAATAGTTTTCCTGACCTCCTAGCATACTATATGCTGCTTTCAGAACTAGCTCAACAGATCATAGATTGAGTAGTGAGTTCCTTTGATCACCACTGCCACCCTGAACACTCAATAGGTCCTGTTCAGAGACAAGTGAAGTATCTATGAAAAGTGATTACATCCTTTTGAATTATGCTTCAACTACACAGTAAAGAAAAATAACTTTTCTGGCAACGATCTAGTGGGTAGTTAGAAATATAGCAACAAATATGGCAACTAGAGGTGGAGAATTGGACATGGTCAGGGTCAAGATCACCATGAATGCCAGGAAAGGGTTGTCAGCACCCAGGGGTAGGCAAAGCACTGCCGAGGGCTCATCATGGCATTCCTTTTCATTCTAATTCTATGGAGGCTGCAAAAGTGGGGGTCCAACCACTCGGTAGAGCAAAGCTTTGTTTTACTCTGGTTTGCCTTCATTTGAGGGACAATATCAAAAATGAGAAAGTCTTTTGAAAACTTGCCCGTTTCCCTTCTAAACTACTCTAAAACCATAGCTGTTGTAACCGTCAGGAAAGAAAATACAATAGGTTAGTTTTATGAAGGTCTATCAAGTTGGCAGTCAGTACCAGGAACCAAATTTCAACCTTCTGTTTTGATTTTCCAAACCTAAACTCTTAAAACCATAAAGTAAATAAATAATGTCTCAGATCAGCTAAAGGGGACAAAGCACATTTCGAAAAAAAAATTTGGAAGAAAATATAAATATGTATAGCCTCTCTTCTACACTGAACTGTGTATGCCTTATTCAGATACCCTACTGCTCCGTTCTGTGAGGGGGACATTTTATTCATTAGTCTCTAAAACCTTTCCCTTCTCCAATACCACCTCCTTTACCAGCAGGGTAAAAACAAAATTAAATAGATCTCAGAGCTAACAAATGCAATTTGAAACAAATTATCACTCAATCAGCATATAACTCTTCAACTCTATTTCTATAAGTCTTTAAGAATAAAGGAGACATTTTTTAGGTGACCATTAATGGCATATTATTTTCTAAAATGCTCCATAGTATCTGATGACAGGAGACTTTCTGCTGCAGGAGCTAGCGTTACGTACCTCAGCAACATAACAAGGTCTGCATCACTTGAGAGGCGCACCAATCCTGGAGTCCCTTCAGTTCGGATAAATTGGATCTTCTCCCTATTTAAGCAAAGAAACAGCTCAAGACATGTGGCAAACTTTTGTGACATAACTCAGTGGTAAAGCATATTTTTTATAATGATCACAACACTTTTTGGTACCCATTAAGTGGCAGCTACTAAGGGATACTCTGGGAATACACAGCCGAGACAGATATGGTCTTTGCCGTAAAGGGGTACCTTGTGAACATCAACATCTTCCAGTTCTAAAAATGGTAAAATTTTTTTTTATTGCTTTATTTTGCTGCCCAAGTACTACTATAGGTAGTATACCATCCAACCAATAAAACTCAGTCTCTGCTTTGAGTCAAAGCTGATTGTGGGGCCTGAATCTAAGTAAAGTCTTAGGCTGATCCCCTGCTATTCCAAAAATAGATCATGTCGGGATAGTTATCTATTTTCCTGGGGGTATACCTTTGAGTTTTGAGTGATGAGCTCATTCCTAATTGGAAGTAGATGGTATCTATGCATTACATATTCAATATGAAAGCATATAGCTTTTTTAAATAAGAGAAAACTTGAAATACTTTTAGCAATTGCAGTTAGTGAAATAGATTCTGTGCATACCTGTGTAAATGTATATGTATATATATACATCAAACACAACAATGTGAGTTATTTATACAATTATTTTATCATGTGATAACACCAGTTTTTTCTTTTTGTTTGGTACATCATCTTCATGTTACTATTTCCAATTTGTTCATCTACTCTTAAGTATTTACCACATTTTCCTTTTTGTCTTTTACTGCCAGTAGCTAACTAGTATCAAAAAAAAAAAAAGACTATTAAGAAATAAGTGGTGGACATGTATGTAAAGAAATTGGTCAGAAGGCCAGCCTCTCCGCTTAAATTTATTTCAGCTTGAAGGCTTGAACCAGACAGAAATCGTATGTCTGAAGCACGTGATGGAAACCAAGGCCCATTATCTGATACATGGTTTTTGATAAAAGATATAAACATTGGTTGAAAAAAAGCTAAATTAGAAAAAAGTTATCATGGAGAAAACTGAGTAATAACCAAAGAAGTACCCTTATAAGGGTCGGTAACAATATGCTTTGATCTTAAAAAATCAAAAGCTAGCTCCAACAAATATGCAGTTTATCTCCATGATCTATCACCACAATGAATCCAGGCAAACAGAGCAAAACTGAGGAACAAATTGGCTAAGTACTCTCCTCTACTTCCTCAACTGGAGCTATACAGAACAGGCTGAGTGATGGTGAAGATATCATGCTCCAGATTGTGGCCTGTAGGTTTCCTGTGAATAAGAAAAACATCATAGCTTCTTGAGTCACAAGGATGACAGGGTGAGGAAAGGAAAGGGGGAAGGCAGCAGAGGACATATGCCAACTGGTAAGCTATTCATCACTTTCCAGATATTAAACTACCAGGCAGTGAAGGCAACTGGTCTGATTTTTCAGGTGACAACATACCAGAGGGCAGGCTGGGACTAGTTTTCTGCTGGGCCAACTGACTTATCACAATGACAAGCTATGGGTCATATGCTTCCAGGAATCAGACACTGTAATATGTCATCTGATGTACAGCACACCACTAAGTACTTTATTATACTGATATTGACTTATTCTTTCAGCAAACACTTTCTGGGGGCCTACTATGTGCCACGCATGGTATCACACACTGGGAATCCAATAGGAATTAAGACAAAAGTCCTTTTGGAGGAATTAATGGTATAGTGGAAAAGAGAAAGGCAATAAGGAATTCTAATATTATTATTTGAAAATATTTAAATTCTTCTGTTCACTTAACGGAACTCTGCCTAGGCCTTATACCTGCTCCTAGCCTAGACAGTCCTTTACAAAGTCCTTTCATGTAGAAACAAAGAAGATATTAGTTTACTGACAAGAGAGCAGATCAAGGCTGAGGAAGAGAGAGAGGAGAAGTCAGCAGACATCCTCGGAAATGTCACCAACCTTTTCTAAGAAAAAAAGGAACAGCTTCTTGGTTATCAGAGACTTGCCCAAGGTTCTATAGACAAGTGTTTCTCAAACTGGTGTCCTTGTTTACTAGAAATCTATAGAAATAAGCTAGAGTTCTGCAAGAATTTTTAAATTTTATGTTTTCACTTTGATGATCAAAGCTAAATAATGGGCCAGGCACAGTGGCTCACGCCTGTAATCCTAGTACTCTGGGAGGCCGAGGAAGGAGGATCGATTGAGCTCAGGAGTTTGAAACCATCCTGATCAAGAGCGAGACCCCATCTCTACTATAAATAGAAAGAAATTAGCCAAAAAACTAAAGATATATAGAAAAAATTAGCCAGGCATGGTAGTACATGCCTGTAGTCCCAGCTACTTGGGAGGCTGAGGCAGGAGGATTGCTGGAGCCCAGGAGTTTGAGGTTACTGTGAGCCAGGCTTATGCATTCTAGCCCAGGCAACAGAGGGAGACTCTGTTTTATTCTCTGCCATGTTTTTATTTTTGTATAGTATTTGAAGATACACTATTAAATAAACTGGCTTCTCAAAACAATGAATCAGTGGATAAAAGTAAGCTTTTTGTTAAGAAGGAAAATGATGATTGTAATAATGCCAGGGATACATGTGATAGACCATTAGATGCAAAATCAAAAGAGTCAAGTCAAACACAAGTGACACAAAAAGCACAAATATATTTTTCTACTGACAAAGGTCTCAATATTGGTGATTTGGCTTCTGAAAAGCAAAACCCTCTTACACTGATGTCAACAATTCAAACGTTATTAATTTTTTTCATTTTTATTTAATTTGTATATCATTTGGTTTTATAGTTTATAAAACTTGTAGGCATAAGAAGTTTATACATACTTTATATTTGTACACATTTAAGTTTATTTAAAATAAAAGTGGTTAAAGTCAACATAATAGGTATGTAATATTTCTTTTCCTTTTAGGAATGGAAAATAACAGAGGTGACTCCTACCAATTCCCATGAGTCCACTCAGTTTGGAATAAACAAAACAAGTTTGAGAATGTTGTTAAAGATACATCTGATCTTGAATATAGGAATGTTTGAAAATTTTAATATATTTATTCAAGTTTATTTTATTAATTTATAGAGTTAGAAGGAATCTGTGGCAGTCTTCTAATTCCTTTCCTTACTGCCACCTCCTTAATAAAGAAATTCTATTGAATCTTACTGGTTTATAATGAAGATTAAGGTTAGACTCAAATAACATATTATCATTTGACCCTGTTGTGTCAACAGGGTCAAATGATAATATTGACCTGTTGGGTCAAGCATGGGTATGTTTCCTTCTCTGTGCCCTGTGAGAGTACATTCTAGCACTTTCACCATTGCACCTTCTCCCCTGGCCAGTGAGGTACAACTTAAATTCCTTTTGAAACATGAATTTCTTGAGGACAAAGCCCTCCTCCTTTATCTATGTATTCTCAGAGTACCAGGCAGCAAGCTGCGGACACAATGAGTGCTTAGTAAAATGCAAACCAGGCACATGATCAATTAGGGCCAAAAATAACAGATTTGGCTCCTGACAATTCCTCTAAGAATACAATCAATGTTTGGAATAAACAATCTTGTTGTTATTTTTTGTGGAGGCAGAGAAATAAAGAGAATTAGAAAGCTGATAGCAGATTATTTACAGAATCTACTGTAGGAAGGTACAAAGGGCAGGTAAAGGGCAACCTCTTACCATGAAAACTCACAACTGTTAAAACAAGATGCTAAACTGTACAGTGACAACCTCAGGAAAAAGTCTCCGGCTATTGCTGGCTCTCAGACGCTCATGACATTTACGCCTTTGCAACCACTTCCTCCAGGGCACAGAATCACCCCAGAAGAGCAACACTAGCAGAAGATCATTTGAGGACAATGAACAGTCTCGAGACTGAATTCCCACAGAAAACATTCTCACTGAAACCACTCAACATTTTGGTGAAGTTAAAGAAGGGCACGTGTTCAGAAACAACCCGAACCAGCAATACTCTCAACCGCAGAACTCTAGATTACAGACTCTGCACATCCGGATTCCTGTAGATACTGTTCGGCAGCACATTCACAAATACATTGTTTTAAAAAACTATCTTCAGGCAGTTCTAGAGAAGTACCCTTGACTTCCCTAATGGTAAAATGTCAAGAAAGGAAAATCAGCACTGATCATTCACACTCTTTATTACAGTCATAGGGTACTGTCTGCCGTGACACATAGAACCAAGCAGGAGGAAGTTTAATTTTCTTTTTATCTCCCTTTATATAGGTTAGATTTGGAAATTTAAGTCCATTACAGGAATGTGATTCTTATGGCCAAGTAAAAGTGAAATGAATTAGCAACATGATTAAGGGTAAAATTTGCCATAAATGGATATAAATTATCTCTATGGTAAGAACTTAGAGACCTACTGAACTCTCTTTGCTTGTATCTTCTTAAAATAAGCATAATTATAGAACGTAAATGAAATGCTCAGTCTGGAGTCTACTATATGGTAAGCACTCAATAATTTTAAGCTATTGAGCACATTATTAGATAGGCCCCATAATTATTTATGCCTTTTTCAACAGACAGTATGATCTATTGAAAAGAGAGCCTAACTAGATTTCTGGTGACCCACTCCTTTTTCTGCTACTGTTGTTGGCAAGTTGTTCTAAATCAACTTGCCAACAACATATTATTAATATAGAAGGAATGGTTATTTTTGTTTGCTTTGTAAGAAATGTGTCTGATTCACTAATAACCAGGCAGTTTGTTTAAATATATGTTAAAAATAAAATTTCATTAAAACCATTTTGTGCTATCATAATAATTCATTGCTCTCTATGATTTTAGAGATGGGTTTATTATTCTTTTGGGTTTGGGGAAGGCATTGGGACTAGATTCAATACTGATATTTTGCTTTGGTCCACAGAGAGTCCATGTCTAATGGGCTACTGATGAAGGATGATATTTTCCCGAAGTGTCTTTTTTTTTTTTTTTTTTTTTTTGAGACAGAGTCTCATTCTGTTGCCCGGGGTTGAGTGCCGTGGCATCAGCCTAGCTCACAGC